AGAGCAGCTTGCCGGCGGCGGCCTTGCTTTTGGTCGTTCTCGTTTGCGTGCTCCAAATTGGTTCCAAATTGCCCCCCGAGAGGCAGAGTGCAAAAGGGTTCAATGGCTTTGCGATCGGTCTGCTGCTGATAGCAAAGGCCGAAACACTCGGCTGACGAGAAAAATAAGAAGAAAAATACTCCTAGCTAGGAAAAGCATAAAAGTATCTTTCCATCACCAACCTCTCCTTCTTCTCCCTTAAATTGCACGAATTTGAAACTAAATTTAGATCGTAAATTGCGGAACTATAAAAGGACGGAACGTTCTCTGACTGCTTAATGGCGCTTTATGGCAAAGAGGAAGGGACGATTGCAGTTCGAGAAAGTGCAGTGATTTGCTTTGTCGTCGAAACAATGCGGCCGGAAGAATGGCCGCCTGCACCCCACCGGCCGCACGAATTAGCCAAAGTGCACGGCTAGGGTGCGTGCACCCCCTTTGGTCCATTGTTCAAATCCTCCGCAGCTTCAGTCAGCTGAGAAATTCAAAGTGAAAATGCATTAAAACTTTTTTAGTTTTAGATATGATTGCAAAATCGCAGAATTAGGAACAATTATTATAGCCTTGCTGGTGATTCCTCCTCAATATTTGTAAATTTATTTTAGGACTGCTTTTCTTCTTTTAAAATTATGGTAGAATAAATTTCATCATTTCGTTTTACTCGTGTACATATTATGTTCACTTCAATTTCTGCTTAACCAGGCCTGCCTCCAGAAGAAAAGCTAAAAATTTATGGCAAAATTTACGATCTAGTGCATGCAAAAACGGCCGAGTCGAGCAAAAAGCAGGCCTCAGTCGATAATGGTGCCACGAGCAGTTTGGTTTCAAGTCCGTCGTGAATTATAGATTTAGTTTGCGGCAAAAACGAGAAGCTGTACTTACGAGAGGCCGGCGTTTCCATAATAAATCCCCGCGACCTGCTTTGTTTGTTTTTCTAATGCATAAGAGCGCGTGTGTTTGTCTGAAGAGGGAGGATTGCGCACTTGCAGGTCATCACCGAGACTCCCAATGCGACGCTAATTTAATAATACGCTCAGTTGCTCTTTTTGCTCGATCCTGATTAATTCTACCGGCTTTATGCTACACCACACCTAATCCCAAAACAACATGTATTCAAATCTAGTTAGAGATAAATATCGCCAGAAATAATTTACAAAATACAAAAATATTCACAATTATTGTTAACTTATTTTCAAAGAAATAATTTTACGCTTCAAAATTGTGTGAGATTTTTTACATTTAGGCAAAGTAGGCTCAATACAAAAAAAAGCAAATGGCATTTGAAAGTTTTTAATAAATTTATTAAAAATAAAAAATTAAATTATTCCTTTTTTTATTGTTTTTTTTTTTTAATCCCATTATAAAATTGAAAAGTTAATATCATTACTTGCATAATTTTATAATTTAAATTAATTTTTGTATTACAAATGAGCATACTTGGCGCTCACAATCAGTTCAATTGCTCGCCGTCTGCTCTTGCCATTAGAATTATTCGCTCAGTCGTTTGAAATCTGAGACGGATTTTCCGTTATCCTTCCCTTTCATTTCCAGGGGTTGTAAAAGATGAGACCGGCGCCTTTTATTGTCCCGCGCTCAGCTTGGGTAATTCATTTGGAGCGCCGAGACGATATTAAGATCAGTCCACGCGGGGGAGAAAGTGCGATCAGAGAAAGATAAAGGACTATTTTATGCGAGCTGCAGTCGCCCGCCTATTAAAATGACCCTTTAAACGCGAGGCAAACGGAATTTCATTGGTCAGGACTTTCATGCGACGAGATAGTGAAAATAAAGTGTTCAATTCGGGTTTTGGAATCATCTCAAACACCATCGTTGAAATTTGAATCGACCACATGTACAAGGAAGAACCTTTAATGGAGATTAATAATTCGGGGCGGCCCTCGTCAGAATAAATCCACTTTAGGTTGAGCGTCGTGGAGACAAAGGCCAAGCAAGATAGGAAGGAAAGTAATTTACTCCGTGGCGTATTAATCAATTTCCATTACCGTGCGCGAAATTGGATTTGGCTCATCGCTTAAGAGAGGAACCGCAGACGAAACTGGATCAATCGATCTACGTGCCTAAACAGTCCCAAAAAATAAAAAATGTTAAATTCAATTTGAAAATTCTTTTGAAATTTATTTTTCCCAAAACAGTTTTGTCCAAAGTTTTGCTGTTGAAAAATACCAATTAAATTTTAATGTAGCCGATTTGTTGGGAGCAAAACCACGACACGACCGACGGGCTTGTTTTGGTTTTGCGAAATGTCCCCGGAAAGGCTCCGTGGGGAAATGAACATGCAGTGTATGCGGAACCATAACTCTGCATTAAGCAGTGCAGAAACAATCGGCTGCGACTTTCGGATGAAATTTAACACGGTCGGAGCGGGGCTGCGAGTCCCCTTGCGGAAGTGCAGCAAAGTCCTGACGACGTTATCTCTCGCTTTTATTACCGGGGATGCACCTAGCAGGAATAATGCAATATCGCGTCGAGAGCGTTGCACGAGATGGAACGGCATGAATTTTTCATGCGGACGCCGCTGCACTCGCTGTTATACTTCCGGACGTGTGCAAACTCAAGGCAATTCATAACGTGTTATTTCTGCATGTGCTCTTGCTTGCACCCTAGAAAGAAAGAGGGAAAATCCGCTATGTCTAGGTGCACAATGATGAAATATAGCCTTTGTGATACAATTCAGCGCCATCTTTTGTATATGTTACTGTGTGGAATTTCCATGCTATTATGACTTTAGTCAATGGGAAACAGCAGAAATAATTAATTAAACTTTATTCGATATTTTGAATAATATCCAACTTCATGAGAGAAACAAGTTTACATTTCTGAACTCACAATTATTTCCATCATTTATGAGTGTGAAAAACTAGATTCCCACATTTTTTATCCATTTAAAAAATTGAAATATCTAAACTCTTAATAATTTATTTTTTCATAAATTATGATTAAATTTTTATCATATAATAATGTGCTTCTTGAATGATGTAGTTTTCTTCTTGTTGAGTTGATCCAAAATAACAAAATAATTATTATTTAACTCTCAGTACAAATTTAAACGTCTTAAACAAGGTCATAGAATAAAATAATAATTTGACGGTCCTTATGCACCTGATAATTTCAATTTGTTTTTTATTCAGAATTTCTTTTTCAAAAATAGTCACTAATAATTGAGCCGCAATTTCATTCTCCATTTCTTATTACACATGTCATATTATTTCAGCATAAGAACAACAGAACATACAGAGATTTTTAATTATTTGAAAATCAACCTTATAAGTTTAATAAATTAAATAATTAGTAGTTAAATTTCAGCCTGCTGCACAGACTGAATTTAACATAATTTGCTCATCGCATCCGTTCTCATTTGTGAAAAATTTCGGTCGCAGCTGCAGCAAGGAGAAAATTTTCGCCTCAAGTCCTTTGTTCTAATGAGCACGACCAGCGTCGCTTGCAGCCAGAACGGAAAAACTCATAAATATGCATGAAAAGTCCATTTAGCGTTAGCGGCGGCGGCGAGACACCCCGGAAAATCTTAATTCGCCGGGCAGAAAATTTGCAGCAAAAAATTCGCATTTGTTGCGCGCACGCTTTTTCCCTCTCTATTCATATTTTTACCATTATTTTCTGCGGATGGCGAAGAGAAGAAAAAGAACTGTTGCTGCCGGGAAAAGAAGAGACGGATAACGAAAAGAAAGTGGCCCGGTGCGGTGCTTCTTTTCTTACTCGCGCGCGCGGTCAATCATGCAGCGACGAGCATTCCTAATATTTATGTTCTCGGTAAAATCCCTGCCGGCAGCGCACAATGCCTCTCGTAAATAAGCACCGGATGAATGCGTAAAATTCCACCGGGGCCCAAAAGGAAAAACGAGAAAGGAACGCAGCTTGTTAGCCCGGCAGGCAACAGTGTTCGAATGAATCGGCCCGAAGCCCTGCAAATGATTCCAGCTGCGGAAAATGCTCTTGGTTTCTCGCTCTCTCTTGTATTGCAAATTCATGGTTTGTCGTCGACGCCCGCTTATTTGCATGCCATGAATATTTTAGCCCCGATCGAATCCCCAGCACTTGACTTCGACGTCGCAGCCCTTTCAAGAAAAAAATACTACCTTTGTATATTCTTTCGGAAACTGCAGAGAAACGCGATATCAAAATACTAAAACTAATAATAATATAAAGATAAATAAGATTTAATATAAATCGAAAATGGACTGTAGATTTTAACAAATTATGATGAAATTTTAATGGCCATAACATGCAAAATATTATTGGTGCAATAGTTTTGATAAATTCACGCTGCTTTATTAATACTGTTGTTTATTTTGTCCATATTGAAAAAAATTTATAAGTTGTGCAGTTTTTAAAAATTGAATTCCGGAACCAAAAGGTACCACCACTACCAAAGATTTTGCTAAATTTTGCTAAAACTTGTGAGCTCAAAAAGACATCCGTCGCAGTAATACATTTTAATATTTAATTTAATTTAATTCTAGAAAAAAATTCAAAATCTATGTTCAGGATATTCTTTTGTATACATAGATGCTGTCAACCAAAGAAAACTCTTTGCAGGGTTCCCTGTAATCAGAAGAATATGAATAGTGGTCGAACCAAGTTAATGTCAAAGAAGTGGTATTAATTAAATTTAATTATATAATATTGACAAAAAAATTAAATTTTCATTTTTTTGTTTAAATCTTTTAAGGCTCGCCGTGCGCTAACTTGTTAACTCGCAGATTTTTTTGTTTTGTTCAATAAAAATTTATTCAAAGATTAAATTGAACAAGCCAGCATTATATTTCAGATTACGTGTCGATTAGTTTCAGATTTTTAGTGTTTAGATCAAATAAGGCAAAAAGCGCAGACGTGTCAACCGCACAAGCCTTTTGCTGCTTTTTGTCGTCTTGATCTGCAGCTCCAGCTTCCCCTCGAGACGAAATTATATTTAATATTCACTCGACGCACACGCTCTGACGCGATTATGCAAATGGCGACGTTAGCAAAGAGGGACAATTAGAGGTCGGTTGAGTCACATCGGGGTTGCAAATAAACGACAGGGGTGGGTCACACGCACTGGCGCAGCGAACAGCCGGCGCCGTGCAGCAGCTCGGCGGTCATCCTCAGGACGGGCATTTTTCCACAGCCACACTTGCCCATCCAGTCGTCATTGCTCGCATAGCCGAAAATAATTCCTTCTACACCAGCAGATTTAAAGTATTCCATCTAAAAGAAAAAATGAAATTATAACAATAATAAATAAAAAAATTGTAGCATATTAAATTATTTACTTTTGCGGTCAGAATATTCATGTCTTCATAAGTAAAAACGTGCGTCGTGTTGTATGCGTAATTGAACATTTTGTCATCCTTTAAAATAGTGAAATTTTGCTTCCTTATGGTCTGACAAACCTGTTGACAGGGAAATCAAATTTGTTTTCATCATTGAAATACCATTGGAAAAATGCCGTTAAACTATCAATAAAATTTGAAATTTGATCAGGGATATTCAAATTGATTCAAATGCTGAGTTAGCACAAGAAAATTTCATAAGCAGCTTGGCTATGAGAATATCCCACACTGTTTAAAATTTATATATAGACGACCACTGTATATCCTAACTGCAACCGTTAATATTCAATGTGTGAAAAATGCACCTCTGAAAGGCGTTCCACTTGGCCTTTTCTAACTGCACTAGTCTTGGTTTTAGGTACAGTGTTATTCTGTACCAGTTCATAGAGGACAGAGAATGAGGCCACCCCGGCAAGAACCTTCGTCATGCGAGCCGCTCCAATCTTTTCTTTGATCGCACCAATTGAGTACATCTGCAAAAAAATTCATTTAATCACAGAAAATTATTATAAATGCAAAACTTGCTAGCTCGTGCATGGGCGCAGAGGGGAACAGGTCGGCGCTCCACACACCTTGATAGTCGTATGTTGTCATGTAAAAATAATCGACGAAATTCCATAAAACGTTCAGGTTGTACCCTGAATTATTCAAGTAAAAATTAGACCTAGGCAATTAGAGATCTTTCGAATGAATATAATTCAGACACCAGTAAATAATTCCACATTTAAAGCAAAACGAAAAATATGGAACACTTTTCCAACCTATTGTAAAATTGACTTTTTATTTCTGAAGTATTAAATATATTCTGCTGTCTGAAAATTTATTCCAACCCACACACATTAACATTATTTCTTCTTTTAGCGATATTTTTACGACAATTACAGTAAATATTTTATTGCGCAATCTTAAAATTTTTTGAATTGTTGTATGCCTACCACTCATAAGTATCACATCATATCTGCCCACGTTCAAGAACAATAGTTTGCCCTTGGCCTTGACTGCTGGATAAAGCTCCTTAAACATTGTCACCAAGTTTTCCTTGTCTTTCTTGTCGCCCCTGATGCAGTCAAACTTGTTTTTAATTTTAATAATAAACAATAAAATATTCAAAATTTGATTAATTCACGACAAAACAGCCCGGATAATACCAACGCACGTTGATTCCGTCAAATTTGTACTCATCGACAAGTTGGAGCATCTTCTTAATCAGTTGGGTCCGTAGATTGGCATCGGCGGCGACTTTTGAAAAAGTGACACCGTCCATGCCGTCGCCTGGTTCCATGCTGCCAAAATTCATGATGACAGGAATGCCTTGTTTTTGCGCAAACACCTTCGTTTTGTTGAAACGGTCTATCGAGAAAAATCCCAATATAATGTCAACCATAACACTTTTAATTTAATTTACCTATCAAAATTTGGCGCTGACTGATGTTGTTTGTGTCTGGATCGTAGAAAAACCACGGCCCCATTGATATGTGCGTACACAAATTGAGCTGCAGCATTTTTATCGTGTCAAAAGAGTCCACTCTGAAGAGAATTGAATATTAAATTAAACGTGTTTTATTATATTGAGAAAAGAGCAGTGAACCCGAATTTCATAAATTATTTTGCACGGCTGAGACTTTTGACCAGATGTTTGTTGACCAAAATTATGTTTTTTTTTCGAATCTTATATGAAAATTTCTTAACCACAATATTAGTACCAAATTCTTAAAAAAGGAAAATATTTTATTAAAAATTAATCAGCGAACTCCTCTTAATGTTTAAATACATAGTTCAAGTTTAAAGCAAATTTTGCAAATATAAAAACTCTTTTTCTCTTACAGTTCGTCCAAAAGGCAGACCAAAATTTTCTGATCGGCCTTAATCCATGTTGGTTCAAATCGCTCCTTTCCTTGACAAGGCTCGTCCACAACTGAAATAATTAAAAATTCCTGCAAATTGGAAATATCATTTTTTGGGATATACAGCCACCCGTTTTGTAGTTTATGGTGCAGTTTTTGCTGAAGCTGGGGAGGCCGAGACATTGAGAAATGCACCTCTGAAGGGGATGTTTAATGTCTGTAGCGTTTATTTGCGGCACTCGCTGACATGACTTAACCGTCGCAACGAATTCCACCGACATCAGAAGCACAAACTTAAAAAGAATAATATTAATCTCTACCAGAAAAGAGAGTTTAATTATGAAATAATACCATTTTTGAAATAAAAATCGTCTCCAAATTGAGCATTTTAATATTTTAATAATGTTCTGAATTTATGACTGAATGAGGCTCTTCTCGTCAACTGCTACATCCGGTTGTAATTTGCGCAAAACTAAACGGGGTCATGTTAAAATTTGCTATCGTAACTTCCTTCTATGGCCTGCAAAAAGAGTGAAAAGTTAGGATTTGTATAGGTCGTGGCATAAACGGGGCAATGAAAATGAACGTGTGTTGGTCAGCACAACAAGATAACTTAAAGCTGATATAATATCGGTGATGCACATGAATAAAGTACTCATGTATTCGACAAACCTGCCGAGGGGGAGATACAATTTGAATTTATCATTAAACTAAAGAGCTTGATATAGAGAATTAAATTGACTCAAATGCTTAATTAGTGTCAGAAAATCTCATAAGCAAACTGGCCATGAGAATATCCCTCAGTGTTTTAATTAATATTTTAAATTTAATAAATTAATATACTGCGCTTATCATTGGAAATTTCTTGTTAAACCATCAATAAAATTTATCCAGGGATATTCAAATTGATTCAAATGCTGAGTTAACACAAGAAAATTTAATAACTTATAGCTTGACTTGGCTATGAGAATATCCCAAACTATATAAAATTTATCGAGACAACTGTATATCGTAACAGCAACTGTATTTTCATAAATAATATTCAATGTGTGAAAAAATGCATGATCAACATTTGTAAATTGAGAACCACTTTTGGGAATTTTTTCAATAAAAACGGCTTAAAATAAAATTTTGAAAATTTCAGGGAAGGTCACATTATATAATCAACTATTTTTAAAATTTTTGTTAAAAAAACCAATTGCATACTTTACAGAGGCAAATAAATATGTACATATTTTACACACTAAACTTGCGAAGTAGCGAAAAATATTATTTGGAAAAATTTCAAAATATATATTGTATACATTTAAATTTAAAAAAAAATTTACTCCATTAGCTTTAATTTTCGCCAAAGTTTTTAATTTTTGGACCGATAGAAAAATTACCACAGCCAATTGAGCAAACTCCTTAACTCCGTCCAAACGGGCCTGCCGAGATGGTCGATGCGCCCACCCACGTGACTTTAAAAATTGTTCCTTGCATTTGTGAAAATATCATCATCATCATCAAAATATTTATTAAACACATGTGTGTACGACATTTGTGAAAATATCAAGTTGATAAAACAATTAGAACTATTGATTTGCTTGAAAAAACCCGGAAACTCTAAAATCCAGGATGGCTTCCGCTCGGGCATGCCGAAAATTCGTTTTTCGACTTTTTCGGCTATTGCACGCAGACGGAGTGACATAAAAGTGATAACTAAGATATCATTTTGAAGGGCGCACAAAATCTGATCTTTCTGTACCAATATTGAACCTCCATGAAACGAAACTTTTCAAACCCTTTGAAAAGTACAAACGTACAAATAATGCCGGAAAATACATGCCAAAAATGTTCATTGGAATTTTTGCAACAGGCAAAAACGATTTTAAAATATCAAGTAGAAAATTGTTTAATCATTACAAGTAAAATAATTTGTTACGCTGGTTAATAATACTTTATTATAAAAATTAAAAATGTTTTATCATTGTTTATTTAACCAATTGCAACATATAGTTTGCACGTTGAAAAGAATCAATTGTTTGGAGACAGCGAATTGTTGGACAGAACGGCATCACCAAAATATATGAATTAACTTTTAATCTCATGTTACGATGTGAATGTTATTTACAATTGAAATTTTAATCTAATTATATTCTTTGATTGCCGCGCGGCTCTAAAAATTATTAAAGCTTTGAAAGCGTGACCATTTATAACATTTAAGTTAAATTCAAATTAATACAATTTTTAAAGAGAATTAGGTACTTGATAGAAGTATCACAAAAGCTGCATTAATTTAGTCGCAGAATTCCATCGCTTCAGCCGAATGTAAAAAAGCACAAATTTGTCCACCAAAAAGCGTTTTTCTACTTTTTGTCGTCCTGACGTGCATTTCCTTGAGACGAAATTACGTTAATATCCACTTGAAGCACAATCACGACTGAAGTATAATAAAGAGGGACAATTATAAGTTGGTTGGGACAAATAGGGGCTGAAAATTCTGACAGGTTACACGCACTGGCGGAGCGGGCAGCCGGCGCCATGCAGCAGCTCGGCGGTCATCCTAAGGATTGGCATCGTTCCACAGCCGCACTCGTCCTTCCAGTCATCGTTGCTAATATAGCCAAAAATGAATCCCACCACACCAGCGGATTTTAAATATTCAATCTAAAAAATTCAAGTATCAAGAATTGAGGTTTAAATGTGATTATTTACTTTTGCGGTCAAAGTATTCAGGTCATCGTAAGAAAACACGTGCGTCGCGTTGTATGCGTAATTGTTAGTCTTGTTATCCTTTAAAATAGAGTAATTTTTCTTCCTTATGGTCTGACAAACCTGTCGGGAGGGAGATAAATATTTTTTCATCAATTAAACAAACAATGAGCTTAATGCTTAACAAAGAAATACTGGTGTTAAACTATAATATTTTCTACATTTGTTCTACATTCACATGTCGAGTTAGCACCAGAAGATCTCATAGGCAAATTGACATGTGAATATTATTTACCAATATTTTAATTTTTTTGCTGACTTTATCTTAAACGTAACCATATTTCTTTAGATAAATCATTTTTAGTGCCAAAATGTGAGCTTAAAAGCACCTCTGAATAGTTTGCCAATCTGCCTTTTGTGACTTCACTAGATTTACTCCTGGGCACTGTGTTTTTCTGTACAAGTTCATACAGGGCAGCGAATGAGGCCACCCCGGCAAGCACCTTCTTCATGCGAGCCGCTCCAATCTTATCTTTGATAATACCGATGGAGTAGATCTGCAACAGTTCATTTTGTGCCAGATTAGTTGCAAATGAAGTTTATTGGTGTACCACAAGGCAATCTCTGCCCAACTCGAGATACATCACACAAATATTCAAAAGTTATATAATGAAAAGAAAACTCCAACAATTGGAGAGGAGAATAAGATGACACACACATACACATACATACATATAAAAGAAAATCTTACAAGGTTGTGCATGCCCGTAGAGGGGAACAAAGAGGTTTTCCAGGTGTCTTCATAGACGTAAGTCGTCATATAAAAGTAGTCGACGAAATTCCATAAAATGTTCATGTCATACCCTGAATTTTTTAAATAAAATTGAGATTTACGTAATTGATTATTTTGCAATGAATTGAATTTGGATATTTGTTAATAACCCGTTCTCCAGCCTACATACACATTGAAATTATTTCTTCTAGCTACATTTTTAGTCTATTGAACAGTGTCCAATTATTAAATTGTTATCTTAACCCCAGCCCCCAGCAGATATTTGAGAACTATTGTAAATATTTCAATACCATTCATGAGAATCGAATCAAATTTGCCCACGTGCAAAAAGAATAGTTTGCCCTTGACCTTAAGTGCTGGGTAAAGCTCCTTGGCCATTATCACCAAGTTTTCCTTGTCTTTCTTGTTGCCTTTGACACAGTCGTACTTTGAGAAATTTATATAAAAAACAATATAATACTCAAAATTTGATTAATTCACGATAATACAGCCCGGATAATACCAACGCAAGTCGATTCCATCAAATTTGTACTCATCGACAAGTTCGAGCATCCTCTTAATCAGTTGCGTCCGTAGATTAACGTCAGCGGCGACTTTTGAAAAAGTGACACCGTCCATGCCGTCGCCTGGTTCCATGCTGCCAAAATTCATGATGACAGGAATGCCTTGTTTTTGTGCAAACACCTTCGTTTTGTTGAAACGATCTAACGAGAAAAATCCCAATGTAGACCACAACACTTTTAATTTAATTTACCTATCAAAATTTGGCGTGGACTGATCTTGTTTGTGTCTGGATCGTAGAAAAACCACGGCCCGATCGATAAGTGCGTACAAAAATTAAGCTGCAGCATTTTTATTGAGTCAAAAGGGTCCAATCTGAAGAGAATTGTATATTAACTTAATTTTGTTTGATCATATTGAGAAAAAAGCAATGAACCCGAATTTCATATTATTTTGAACGGCTGAGACTTTTGAGCAGATGTTTGTTGACTAAAATTATGTTTATTTATTTTTTAATCTGATGCAAACTTACTAAACCATAATTTACATTAGTACCAAATTCTCAAAATTGAAATTATTTTATTTAAATAAACCTGCAAACTCCTCTCAATTATAAGATAGTTCAAATTTTGCAAAATATAAAAACTCATTTCTCTTACAGTTCATCCAAAAGGCAGACCATAATCTTCTGATCGGTCTTGGCCCATGTTGGTTCAAAGGGCTTCCTCACTCGACAGGGCTCATCCAAAACTGAAATACTCTTGAATTACTTCACCTGAAATTAATATCTTTTTATGTTATACATCCACCCGTTTTGTAGTTTATGGTGCAGTTTTTGGTGAAGCTGGGGAGGCCAAGACATTGAGAAATGCACCTCTGAAGGGGATGTTTAATGTCAGTAGCGTTTATTTGCGGCACTCGCGGACATGACTTGACCGTCGCGACGAATTCTACCAACAACAGTAGCACAAACTTATAATAATGACATGTTAATCTCTTCTAGAACAAAATTTAATTAAGAAATATACAATTTTTGAAATCAAATTGATCTCCAGAATGAACATTTTAATGTGTCCTGATTTTTTAACTGACAATGAGGCTCCAGTCATGGACTGCTACGTCCGGTTATGGCTTGCGCAAACAAAACTACGCCATGTTACATTTTTGTGCAACTTCCTCCAATTGCCCTTCTATGGCCTACAAAAAGATTGAAAGTTAGGATTTGTGTCGTGGCTTTTTACTACAGGCTTTGTGCAGAATCTTCCAATCCTTCCAATAAAATGAAATCGTGATCAATTTTAAGAATTAAGGTGAAATGTTTTGGAAAAAATATGCAAAGAAATCGCATCATAAAAATAATTTAACTATGTTATTCTGAATCGTAATACATTATTTAAAGATTCACTTTTATTTTTGTTATTAGTTGTCCTTTATCTTGCTTGATTTAAAGAATCTAAAGAATCAATTGTAGTAATTACATTTTTGAACAAAATAAAAATAAAAAAATAAAAATTATCTTGATTTCATTTAAGTTAGTCTCAATGAAATCAAAACTTATTAAAACAATAAAATTTCCCAATTTAATTTTAATTGCAAAGTTTTAAAATTTCGTTGATTAGGACAAAAATTAAAAAAGCATAAACTTGCCAAAGGAAAAGCATTTTTATATTTTTTTGCTGCGATTTGTTGTTCAGACCTCCTCAAAATTACAATTTGTAATATTCACTCATTGTCGGCGCACAAATCCTGAAGCAATTAAGGTGGCGCAAGTAAAGGTGTACAATTAGGAGTCACATCAGGGTTGCAAATAATTGACAGGGTTTGTCACACGCACTGCCGCAACGGGCATCCGGCGCCGTGCAGCAGCTCGGCGGTCATCCTCAGGATAGGCATTGCGCCGCAGCCGCACTCGCCCTTCCAGTCGTCTCTGTGAATGTAGCCGTAAAAAACTCCTACTACCCCAGTAGATTTCAAATATTCAATCTAAGAAAATCAAAATTTTAGCATTAAAGAAATTGAATTGTAAATACTTATTTACTTTTGCTGTTAGAGAATTCAAGTCATCGTAAGTGAATACATGTGTAGTGTTGTATGCGTAATTGCAATTCTTGTTATCCTTTAAAATAGTGTAATTTTGTTTCCTTATGATCTGACAAGTCTGCCGGGAGAGAGATAAAATTTATTTTCATTGATTTTGTTGATTCTTAACATAGGAAAACTGCTACTTTCTGTCTCTAAATCAATATTTTTTTATGAATTTACAGTTAGAACCAGTAAACAACTCTTACATAAACTTTGCATGAGAATATCTCCAATAAATTAATTTTCAGAGCTAATCAAATTTAATTTAACCTTAATATTTTAATTCATCTTTTTTTAATTGTGAGCTAAAAAAGTACCTCTTGATAATTGGGGTATCGGCCTTTGGTGACTTCGCTAGTCTTGGTTTTAGGTATTGTGTTTTTTTGTACAAGTTCATAGAGGACTGATAAGGGAGTCACCCCGGCAAGCACCTTTTTCATGCGAGCCGCTCCAATCTTGTCTTTGACCGCACCGACTGAGTAGATCTGCAATAATTCATTTCATCAAATTCACGGATTATTATAAAAATTAATGAAAAACTTGCAAGGTTGTTCATGCCCGTAGAGGGGTACAGGTTGGTGCTCCATGAACCTTCATATGTGTACGTCTGAATAAAAAAGTAGTCAACGAAATTCCATAAAACGTTCAGGTCCAAGCCTGGATTTTTGAAGTGAGAATTAAAAATGAGATTTTAATATTATTAACTCCAAACTTAAGGCAACAAAGTAAGGAATATATGTATTTTGAGCTTCATTTGTTTGATATGATTTTTTTCCGTACAACCAATTACATTATTTTGCTGACATTTAATATTTTTATTTTTTTAAGCACGTTTTAAATTATTTTTTAATCTGCCTCTATTGATTTAATGTGTTATTTAATTACATAATCATAAAAAATTAAACAGAAATTGCAATATTGTTATAAATATCTTTTTAATACCTCTCATGATCATCGCATCCCAGTTGCCCACGAGCAAGAACAATAGTTTGCCCTTGGCTTTAAGTGCGGGATAAAGCTCCTTAAACATTGTCACCAAGTTTTCCTTGTCCTTCGCATTGCCCTTGACGCAGTCTGTCTATTTTCAAATAATAAAAGAATTAAAAATAAGCAAAAATTTGCTTGGAATTGGATTAAATTACAAAGGAACAGCCCGGATAGTACCAACGCACGATGATGCCATCAAATTTGTACTCATCGACAAGTTCCAGCAACCTCTTAATCAACTGAGTCCTTAAGTTGACGTCAGCGACGACTTTTGAAAAAGTGTCGCCATCCATGCCGTTGCCTCCTTCTGCACTGCCAAAATTCATGATGACTGGAATGCCTTGCTTTTGCGCAAACACCTTCGTTTTGTTAAGAAGGTCTGGAGAAAAATTATCATTGTTTATTATTTTTCCAAATTGTTACATCACGTTGTTTACATTCAATATCTCAAAATTGACCAGAATATTTTCCTTCTTTTATTTATACCTATCAAAAATTGGCGTGGACTGATCTTGTTTGTGTCTGGAGCATAAAAAAACCACGGCCCGATCGATAAGTGCGTACACAAATTGAGCTGCAGCATTGGCATTATGTCGAAAGAGGAGTCATCCACTCTGGAGAGAATAAATGTGAAAATAATTGGAAATCCTGATTATCATGGAAAATAGGCCATCTTTTGAAAAGATATTTTTAGCATAATATATGTGTACCAAATATTATGTAAATAAAATTTTATGTATTTAATTTTTTTTTAGCTACATGATCAATATTTTAAATTCAAATTATTTTATTATGAAAAAATCCACATTTTTTTTGTTTATTGATTTGATAGACTTTCAAGCAACCCGATGCAAAAAAAAAATCATTTTTCTTACTGTTCGTCAATATAGCAGACCAACAATTTCTGATCAGCAGTGACCCATGTTGGTTCAAATCGCTCCTTTCCTAGGCAGGGCTCGTTCAAAACTGAAATTATATTAAATTTCTCGAATATACCTAACTTTTTTATTTTTTGATGATATACATCCACCCGTTTTGTAGTTCATAGTGCAGTTTTTGGTGAAGCTGGGGAGGCCGAGACATTGAGAAATGCACGTCTGAAGGGGATATTTACTGGCAGTGGCATTTATTTGCTGCACTCGCGGACATGACTTGACCGTCCAGACAAACCCCACTGGCAGCATCAGTAGCAAAAACTTACAATATAGATCATATTAATCTCTATAATATAAAAGAAAAGGTATAATGAAATTTTACAAATTTCAAAACCAAAATCATCTGTATATATGGAGCATTTTCATACTGAATTCTGGTCTGAGGTATAGCATACATTTCAACTGCTACGTCCGGTTATGATTTACGCAAACAAAATGACGTCATGCGGAATTGATATTGCTGAACTTCCTTTTATGGCCTACAAAAAGATTGAAAGTTTTTGTTCGTGGATCGAGGTATAAATTTAAAAAGGGGCCATATATGGATTGTATGTTGGTCAGAGCATGAAGAATAATATCTTACTTAGCATCCTGTTTAATGTTGTTCAGGTGATGTAAAAATTTTGAATACTGTCGCTCAGTTGGCTATTTGTGCAGTATCAAGTATCATAATTCATCAGAATAAATTTTTATTAAGATTTAATCTGCAATATGTTCATTGCAATTTGCAGCAACAATTTTAAAATAAATAATGCAATATTATGAAAGTGGTGCATTGTAAGAATAATTTTATTTTATTTCGTAACTCATAAATTATTACACAAATTTACAACGTAAATATTATAATTGTTGGTCTAATGGTACAAATATTTTATGTCATGTAAAATTTGTTTTGTGCAACCTCCTCCTAAGGCTCCTCTATGGTCTAAATATTGGAATCACGTGTCGTAGCTTTTTACTGGCAACTTTGTGTGCAGAATCCTTCAACAAAATAAAATCACGATAAATTTTTAGAAGATTAAATGTGCGGAATAAATACCAATCGAATCGCATCATTAAAAAAATTATTTTATTCTGGTTTAGCAATACATTTTTAAAAATCCAAAACTATCTACATTTATGGTAATCATGCTATAAATGAAATCAAACTTATTAAATCAATATATTATATTAATTTTAATTGTAAATTTGCACAATTTCGCTGATTAGGACAAGAATAGAAAAAGCAGAAATTTGGCAAACACAAAGCATTTTTTGCTGCGTTTTGTTGTGTAGACCTCCAGACCTCCATGGAAATTACAAGATTTAATATTCACTCAGCGACGAGCCATGAAGCAATTTTACAAATGGTGGCGCGCAAGTAAAGATTTGTGGGGGCAAATCGGGGGTTGCAAATCCTAACAGGTCACACGCACTGACGCAGCGAGCAGCCAGCGCCGTGCAGCAGCTCAGCGGTCATCCTCATGATGGACATTGTGCCGCAGCCGCACTCGTCCATCCAGTCGTCTTTGCTAATGTAGCCGAAAAAAAGTCCCGCCACACCAGTGGATTTTAAATACTCTATCTATAAAAAACGGATATTATCAAATATCAAAGAAATTGAAATGCCAATAAAGTTATTTACTTTTGCGGTCAAAGTATTCAAGTCTTCGTATGAAAAAACGTGCGTCGCGTTGTATGCGTAATTGCTATTCTTGTCATCCTTTAAAATAGTGTAATTTTGCTTCCTTATGGTCTGACAAACCTATCAGGAGGTAGTTGAACTTAATTTTCATCATTAAACTAATGAGCTTCTGCTATGTAAATGAATGAATCGGGCTTTTTCCTTGTTGCAAAAATTATTTTTTTATAAAAAAAAATGGCTTCTGCTATTCTGTTATTTTCCGTGCAGAATTTATTAAGGTGCATTCTAAGTTAGCTAAAAAAAATCATGGAGAAAATATGGCCTGATAATATGCCCACTGTGTTAAAATTGAAGATCTAACCTTCTTGATCATTTCCAAAACATTTTAGTGCAAATGAGTGCGCTAAAAAGATCACCTCTGCATATTTTGTCACTCGGCCTTTGGTGACTCCACTAGATTTGCTTCTAGGCACAGTGTTTTTCTGTACCAGTTCATAGAGGACACAGAAAGGGGCCACCCCGGCAAGCACCTTTGTCATGCGAGCCGCTCCAATCCTTTCTTTGACCGCAGCGATTGAGTAAATCTGCAACAATTCGTTTTATTAAACGACTGTGTTAGTTTTTAATACAAAAAAGAAATGAAAAACTTGCAAGGTTGTGCATGGCCGTAGCGGGGGAAAGGGAGGTGCTCCATGAACCTTCATACTCGTACGTCGTCATATAAAAGTAGTCAACCAAATTCCATAGAGCATTTAGATCGTACCCTTGAATTTTTGAAGTAAAAATTAAACACAATTCGAGATCTTACTTATTATAATAACTTCACATTTGAAGCGAAAAAATTAGGCAAATTATTTTAAACTATTTGTAATAAAATGAACTTTCTATTTTCATAAATTTTTCAGATGTTCTTATTATTATTATATTAGAGGTTTCTGAAACTTTTCAAGCAAACATTCACCGCTCTACATAAATATTAAAATGATTTTTTTTTTTTTTTTTAGATTTCTTTTTACTCAGTTATTCACTTCCTTATTTTTTTGACTTTTTATTTTTATCTTTAGCCCCGGTTGTAAGTTTGTAAATATGTCTATTATACCATTTGTAACATACGACTCTGCGTAGCCAACAAGCAAGAACAATAGTTTGCCCTTGGCCTTGACTGCTGGATAAAGCTCCTTAAAAATTGCCACCAAGTTTTCCTTGTCCTTCTTGTTGCCCTTGACGCAGTCGTACTTTTTTAAATTTGAGCAATCAAAAATAAAATACTTAAAATTCCATTAATTTACGAGAACACAGCCTGGATAATACCAGCGTAAGTTGATTCCATCAAATTTGTATTCGTCGACGAGTTCGAGCATCCTCTTAATCAATTGGGTCCTTAAGTTGACGTCGGCGGCAACCTTTGAAAAAGTGGTGCCGTTCATGCCGTTACCTGCTTCATAGCTGCCGAAATTCATGATGACAGGAATACCTTGCTTTTGCGCAAATACTTTCGTTTTGTTGAAACGATCTGAGAGCAGAGAAAATATCTTTAATAGAATATTTTTCACTTTGATTTACCTATCAAAAATTGGCGTGGACTAATCTTGTTTGTGTCTGGATCATAGAAAAACCATGGCCCCATTGATAGGTGCGTACACAAATTTAGCTGCAACATTAGCATTGAGTCGAAAGTGGAGTCATCTACTCTGAAGATAATTGAACAATTGCAAATTGTGATCATATATATTATTTTGAACGGCTGAAAATAAGGTTTTTAGCAGAAGTTTATGTATGCGAACCAATGTTAACAAAATTTGTTCAATTTTATGTGAAATTTCTGAGCCATAAATAATTATTACGAAAATCAAAATTATTTTATTAAAAATAACTTCCCAAAGTCCTCTTAATTCTTAGAGAGTCAATCTTTTAGTGGAAAATAAAAACTTAATTCTCATACAGTTCGTCCAATAGGCAGACCAACATTTTCTGATCTGTCTTAGCCCATGTTGGTTTAAATTGCTCCTTCCCTTGACAAAGCTCGTCTGCAACTGGAATTCATAATGTGAAAATCCTTCAAACCAAAATTAAAATTTTTGACGGTACATCCACCCGTTTTGTAGTTCAACGTGCATTTCTTGGAGAAGCTGGAGAGGCCGAGACATTGAGAAATGCACCTTTGAAGGGGATGTATAATGGCAGTGGTGTTTATTTGCTGCACTCGAGGACATGACTTGACCGTCCAGACAAACCCCACCGGCAAAAATAGAACAAACTTACAATAAGACCCATACATTAATTTCTAATTGAAAATAAAATTTAATATGAAATTTTACCATTTTTGAAATCAAAATCATCTCCAAACGGAACATGTCAATATACTAAACTCTGAAATGAGGCTGCAGTCATCAACACCAAAACGTCCGGTTATATTTTGAGAATACAAATTGACGTCAGAATTGGTTACCCGCAACTTCCTCTTATGTGGCCTGCGAAATGATTAAAATTTTGTTTCGCGGCCCTTGGTTTTTTTTTAAATGGGGTAAAATATAATTATTATACATATAACTACATATTATGTTGTTATGGATTTACACAATGTATAACCCCCGGGAGACTCCGTTCAGTGGTCCCCGACCAAGTCAGTTGTTCAGTTCATAACGCTATCGAGTGCATACATATAAGAGATGCAAAAATTTAAAGACCTGCAGCATAACATCCAGTACAATATACATAATTAGCTGGAAGATGATTGAATCAGAAAAATATTGGTGCAAATTGCAGAAAATATCATAAAATATGAGGAAACATACCATGAAATAATTTTATCATGAGATAAATAATTCCTGTTTGTTATTCAAGTTTTTAATATTAATACTATAACTCAAAATGCTCTAATAATTGTTTATTTGTCAAAAATTTAAAATATTAAAAATAATCAAATTAATTGATCAAAATTATGAATTGTTGGATCTGGATCTCATATGTTCATGTATAAATCAAATTACATTTGAAAACCAAATATTGAATATGGGTTGCCATTTTTTTTAATAATTCATTAAAGATTTGTAATTTTAACATTTATATTATCAATTAGCTTGAATTTAAAGGATTTAAAGAAGCACACTTTATAAAGATATATGGTAATTGATGACATATTGGTGTTTTAGAATTTCACCGCGTCGTTCTATAAGTGAAAAAATCACTAGTTAACCGCAGAACACATTTTTTCTGCGTGGCGTTTGAGTTACATTTGGACTGCAAATCCTGACAGGCCACTTAGGTCACACGCACTGGCGCACCAAGCAGCCGGCGCCGTGCAGCAGCTCGGCGGTCATCCTCAGGACGGGCATCGTTCCGCAGCCACACTCGCCCATCCAGTCATCTTTATTAATATGTCCGAAAAAAACTCCCACTACCCCTGTCGATTTGAAATATTCAACCTGAAAAAATAAAAGATTTTTATATCTTATTTGAAGTTTAATTGATTTTTTTACTTTTTCATTCAAAGTATTCAAGTCCTCATAAGAAAAAACTTGCTTTGTGTTGTGTGCATAATTTCCATTCTTGTCATCCTTTAAAATAGTGTAATTTTGCTTCCTTATGGTCTGACAAACCTATCGGAAGATTTTTTTATTTCCATCATAAACTAATTTACAGCACGAGCCAATTATTCCTATTATTTTCTCCCCAAATGATGGATTTCATGATAAATTTCACGCAATTTACTTAATTAATTTTACATGTGAGAGTAAAATTTCACCTCTGAATAGGTTGCCGTTTGTGCCTTGGCGACTTCAGCTTTGCTTTTAGGCTGTGCGCTTTGCTGTGCAAGGATCAAATAGGACAGAGTATGGGGCCACCCCGGCGATCACCTTTTTCATGCGAGCCGCTCCAATCTTGTCTTTGATCGCACCGACCGAGAAAATCTGCAGCCATTCATTTTCAAAAATTTCGTAAATTAGTCTTGTTTAAAAACTTGCAACGCTGTGCAGGGGCGATGAGGGGAGTAAGGTAGAGCTCCATGAACCGTCATAAACGTAGGTCAACATGTAAAAATAGTCGACAAAATTCCATAAAGTGTACAAGTCGTACCCTGAATTTACAGGTAAGAATAAATTAGCTGTATCGTTTATTGGAATTGTATTTAATTAATTAGTAAATTTTCAACTTTATTTGTCGCTTACAATTTAGATCTCAAAATGATTCATGACCAATTAATTCTAATTAACTTATTTTATTTAATCATTTTTTTTTTGCCACATTGCTATTAGCTGAAAACTTACATTTCTGTAAAATAAAATGTAAAATATTATTTGTGATTCTCTAATTTACAAACCTTTCAAGATGACTGTATCTGAGTTGCTCACAAGCAATAACAATAGTTTGCCTTTGTCTCTAAGTGCTGGATAAAGCTCCTTGAGCAATGTCACCAAGTTTTCCTTGTCATTTCTGTTACCCTGGGAGCAGTCCAACTTTTTTTTATTATATTATTAATTATGAAATCAAGATAATTTGTTCGAACTTACAAGAATACAGCCTGGATAAAACCAGCGCAAGTTGATACCGTCAAATTTGTACTCTTCGACGAGCTCGAGCATCCTGTTAATCAGTTGTGTCCGCAGAATTGCGTTGGCGGCGACTTTTGAAAAAGTGACTCCGTCCATGCCGTTGCTTCCATACATGCTGCCGAAATTCATGAAGGTTGGAATGCCTAGCTTTTGCGCGTAAACCTTTGTCTTGTTTAAACGATCTGATTGTGAGAGAAAAATTTCAATATCGAATAGATTTTTTTTTTCACTTAATATACCTATCAAAAATTGGCGTGGGCTGATCTTGTTTGTGTCTGGATTGTAGAAAAACCACGGCCCAATCGATAAATGCGTACACAAATTGAGCTGCAGCATTTTCATTGCGTCGAAAGAGGAGTCATCAACCCTGAAAAGAATTTAAAATTAATTGATGAAAATAAATCATATCCTCTTACTCTTCAATGTCCAAATAGCAGACCAACATTTTTTGATCAGCCTTGACCCTTGTCAGTTGAAATTGCTCCTTCCCTTGACACGGCTCGTCCACAACTGAAATAATTTTCAATTCTTTCAGAAAAAAAAAAAATTAAATAAAACTTTTGATGGTACATCCACCAGTTTTGTAGTTTATGGTGCATTTCTTGGAAGTGCTAGAGAGCGCGAGACATTGAGAAATGCACCGCTGAACGGGATGTTTAAGGGTGGTGACGTTTATTTCACCCAATCGAAGACATGACTTGACCGTCCAGACGAACCCCATAGGCAATAGTAGCAGGAGCTGCACTTATTCATAAATATTATCCTAAATAGTGAATTAAATACGAAATTTTATACCACCATCCAAACCAAAATTATCTTGAATCGGAGCATTCTAATTCAGAATTGAGGCAGCATCCATCAATTTTTAACGTCCTGTTTTGACTTGACGTCACGCTTTATTTTACAGCGTGTCACTTCCTAGATGATAATATGGCCCACAATTAAGGTGATTTATTAGTGGTTTTATCCTTTTTTTCAATTTATTGAAAATGAAACATTGAATGGATTTATGTTGATCACCCTAACACCCTATCATCGTATCTTTGGCGTCCGGTGCTGCAAAAATTTAAAGTATCAGCTTTTGTGCAGCAGGGCACTTAGCTCGTCGCGTCCCCTTTGAAGAGCGGCCCGTCCGACCCCAGGGACTCCAATTACCCCCCATAGTTGCTCGAGCAGGAATTTCGAGTGCGTTTGCTTTAGTTAATCAAAGCCCCTGCGGCCGCCACTGAAATTTTGATGCGCCCTGTGATGGCTATGATGCATTATTCTATTAGTCGCGCTCCCCCTGTTACTTTCACGTCGTTTATGTTCTAAATTTTTAAATTTGCATTCACTAACAAGGAAGCGCAAGAAAATTTGTACTGTAAATTTGCATAGAACATCCAAGAATGGCAATTCAGAGAAAGTCACAATAATTATTCCTTTTAATTAAATCATCAAATTGGGAAATTTCATTCATGTTGCAACATAAAACTTTATGCATTGTCTATATCTATATTTAATTATACAAACAATAAATTCAAAAACTCAATTACTTTTAAAATTAATTAATTTGTGATTTTTTCACTTTTCACGTTTTCCTATGCAAAATTTCAACATTATCTTACATCTTAATTAACACATACATAAACTTATGCTATTATATTTGCTAAACATAATAGGTAATAGTCTGGGCGAAATAGGTTAATTAAACAGGTTGGCGCAGCGTGTGTGTGTGTGTCTTCTCATCAAAGTACGCGGCGCAACTCATTCCGTCTGCCCGTTTAGTCTTAATTGATATTGTTGCAGAGGGGCTCACTCACTTCTCGTGCACAATGTTGTCGGTTATTAAAATAATGTGTGCTCTCAGCAAACACGTGATTACCGCGCGTGTTTACCCGTTAGCTCTCGTCGGCTGGTGAGCATAGCGGGAGGCAAAAGACGCCCCATACGTCGCACCCCGTGCGAATCGCGTTCGCCAGCCCCAGGTGCCTCGCAATCTCGGTTTTGCTCCCTCGCCGAGAGTGGAATCGTTCACATACATGAATAATAAAATGAGCTGCAGTTAGTTGGTTTGTTTGTTTACCAACGAAAGGCAGCGTGTTATTGTTCTCTCTATTAGTTTGTTTATTGTCATAATAAATTTAGCTCACAACTAGATTTGATTTCATTTTTATCTAAAATATAATTAAACTTTGTTTAAAATTGAATTATAAATGAGAGAAAAAATTATTAAAATAAAACTTCTGTAGATGACAAAACCTGAAAACACTTTGATCATTTATTTCTCTGCAAAAAATGATCCCTCTTTTTCGGAACACAAAGACAGGTAACAAAAAAGCCGGCGTGTAATTCATAAAACGACGTGTAATAGGAGGGTCGAATTAGTGCGAAAATGGAGACGGACGTGGCAAGTTGACGCGACGTGCAGTTAAATAATAAAACGCGAGAGGCGTGCAAATGCAAATGGTCTGACGAAACTCATGAGAAGGGTCCCTGAAGAAAAGCCGAATTATGCGCGTCGTAATAATCATAATGGATGGGGCAAACCTTTGCAATCCCCTTCGCATCCCCCTCTCTCGGTGCGAGCAGGGTAAATAAAAATCTGTTATTCTCCGCGTGCTGCAGGATGAAGCCAGGATAAATAGAAAGGGACACCGACCGAGACAGACTTATTTGCATACTCTTGCACGCTGATGATGTTCAAACAAGCCCTACTCGCGCGCGTAAAACTTTTATGTATTGTGTTCTGCTCCTTTCCTCGCTCTATGGCAAAGGGAAATTTAATTAAAAAATGACACGGCTCTCTTTGTGCTTTCAAAATTAATGAGAGCAGAATTATAAGCCTGAGAAAACAGATA